CATCACAATAATCCACAAGTAATCCACAGCACTCCAGTCCATCAGTTAACATCTGGAGAAGACAAAAGCTGAAACAAATCCATAATCCATAATAACGCTTCTCCAGTGATAAAGTGCTCTGACTCAGGAGAGAAATCTGCACAGATCAAGCATGTTTACAAACCAAAATAGCTCTAAACAAATATGTGGCTGGATTTTGATGTTAAAGACAACAGGAGATGGACTTTTTCACTGGAGGAAGTGTTATTACGGACTCGTATTTTAGTTAAAAACGTCTTGATGATGGATTTCTTGTGGATTATTGTGATGTTTTTATCAGCTGTTTGGACTCTCATTCTGACGGCATCCATTCACTGCAGAGCATCCATTGCTGAGCAAGTGATGAATGCTACATTTCTCCAAATCTGATGAAGAAACAAACTCATCTACATCTCTGACGGCCTGAGGGTGAGTAAACTTTCAGCAAAGTTTCATTTTTGGCTGAACTATTCCTTTAAAACTAGAATGAAAACTGTCATTATTTACAGACTGATTCAGACTTCGTCATATCTAATAATCATCCAAAAACAGCAGTGAAACTGAATTTTTATTTCTAATATTTTCCCTTATGTCTGTCCATGTTGTTATTATTAATGCGAGTGATTTGCACAAACTTCAAAGTGGGAAAATTTAACATTTGTGTCTCAGACTGATATGCAGAGAGGAGCCAAAGGAAACACTTTTAACATGCACCACAACAAATTAAAGGATTTATCTCTCCTTCTGCAGCTAAAAAAAACATATAAACTTCATGCATCGGGCCTGTTGGTCATGTCTTTGACCCAATGTATTATTCCTAAATGCTGAAACTTTATGAATCAGGTTCACAGAATGTACGCTGTCAGGCTCAGGGGATTCTGGGTAAAAACACTGATGTCACACTGTGGCTCAAATGTTCAGAATAAGAGCAAGGAAGAAATAATTAAGTCTAATTAGCATAACTAATATCAGCCCAGAGCTGAAGTTAATCGAATGTACGTGGCAATAAATTTACAGAACTTTATGAAAGGTAGCATAACAAAACCCGCCATTAATTTAGCCGGGCTAATTACTGGAAACGTGCTTATCCTGCTGACGGACCCCATCAATTACAGTGTAATCAACCTCCTGTGAGCAGATATCAGGGTCTTTACGCGGTCGCACACCTCTGATCTCACACAGCATTCATTAACTAAACCTGCGTGACTCCATGAGCTGATAACACTGACATTTATTACTCTAGCTTTCATAAAAACTTCATTGAACAAGTTCAAAATCATCCTTTTTTTTAATTCAAGTTACTCATCTTATAGTGAATGATTCATCAGTGCACACTATTCAATGCAATAACAATTGTCTCAAAGTGCAATAAAAAAATTGTATAACAATAATTTATACTTACATAATACTATATAATAAATCAGAATAAATAAATAAGATATAATAAAATGTATATAATTGGATAAGCTGTTTCAGTCATAAATGCATCACATTATGGACGTAAAATGGTTTCCATTGGCATTTCAGGTTAATTTCGAGAGGAAAGAGGAGAAATACAGGAAGGTGTGCAGCATATTATTATGTATGCAAATGTGAATACGCTCATGTTCCTGGCGGTAACAAACTTCAGTACCGCAACGGGTTCACTGAATGTCGGAAATTGAACTGCATGAAGATTCCCTTGACAGCAGTCGACCTGAAAGAGAAAAAAAAAACACGTGTAGAAGAGAGCAGTTTATTGGTTCGCTCCGTTACAGAGCCCTCAGAGGAAAAACTCTCAATGCAATCTAATGTGAAATGCAACGACTAACAGAATTGACCTTGCATAGCTGTTTTGGGCCCGAGAGGTTCGCTGTATCGAGCTGGTCGCTGATGATGCTTCAGTCAGAGCTGAAACTGACGTGCAGCTGTAGGTCCAGAGAGTCTCATAAAAACTCATTCTTAAAGCTGAAGTGTGCAACTTTTGGATGTTAAAATATGCCCAGATTAATATGCAGACACTGTGCAATACTTTGACACTTTCGAAACATATTTTAACTTGATGTACTAAAATAACTAAAACTAAATAAAAAATGAATAAAAACTATATATATATAAATAATATATCTAGATATATAAAATAATAAAAATGTCTAATAAAAAAACTAATAAAACTGGCAAAAACAGCTAAATTACTACAATTTTGAACATGTAAAAATAAAAAAGTAATATAAAACTATATAAAAAATAAGTAAAAGTAAAATAAAATTCAAAATATAGTATCTCAATGGTACTAAAATAACACTGCTAACTAATAGATTGTTTATCTGAGATTTGTGGCTGTAATGCTTTATAAAATCTAATGGGTCACCAAAGTGCAGAATATTCATAGCAAAACCTATGAATCATGTGCAGTATTTTGAGGATGTAAGTGGCACTCAACGCAGGTTGAAGATTAATGACATGTTTTAAGTTAAGTAATGTTAAGTGCAGAGCACAAAAGAAAGACACTTCGATTATTTGTGCACTCATTTTAAATGTATAAATCGCACAGATCTTTTACCAGTATTTGAAAATATTCAACAATGAGAGACAGAAGCCGTTCAAATTAACAATGATCAGCACTACCGTAATGAATAGTGCAAATAACTGTAATCAAAACTTGTACAGAAACACCTGAGAAAAACGAAAAGAACAAGTCTTTCATGAACGTCCATAAAAATTAGAAAAGAGAAAGAGAGAGAAAACAGGAACAATTAATGACATGGATCACTCACATTCATCCTGGAAAGATTCATTCCACCATTACTGTCTGACGGCGTTGCTTCAGGAACAAAAACCCCGGGAAAAAAACGTTCACATTCACCATCGATGCTTTGAGACGACTTTGGCCGACAGGGCTGGGCGATAGTGCTAAAGAAAGCAGGCGATTTCACATTTTCTGTGTTGATTTTGGGTGAAAATCTGCACAACTGATTTAATCAATGTGTTATTCACAGCTGATTCGTTTTCATTTATACGCACCAGTATAACAGTACATGGTCAAAATATTTACCTACAGATATTTCTACTAAAATAATAATAAAAAAAGCACCAAATGGAGACTTTGAGAACTTTTTTTTGGGTGAAGATGCAAATACATCTTTGTTTTGAATTGATTCATTTGAACTGATTCACAGAAATTAATCAAACTTAAATGCTGCTTTTGATACTGAAGAAGCATCACGAAACTAGTCTGATGATGCAATTTTTTTTTAGGAAACTTAAAGAACAAATTAAAATAATTGTGTGATTCTCAATCTCCAGCATTTCTGAGAGATGATGCGAAAGCATATTTGTTTTGGAGCTCTGAATGGATTCCGAAGCATCACGAAACTAGTCTGATGATGCAATTTTTTTTTAGGAAACTTATATTAAAATAATTAAAATAATTGTGTGATTCTCAATCTCCAGCATTTCTGAGAGATGATGCGAAAGCATATTTGTTTTGGAGCTCTGAATGGATTCCGAACTGATTCACGGAAGTGAATTAAACTTAAATGCTATAAAAGAATCATGGAACTAGTCTTTTGGAAGCATAATGCAATGAAAAAATAAAAAATAAAACACATTAAAATAATTATGTGATTCACAATATCCTGCATTTTTGAGTGATGATGCAAATCTTTGCTTTAGAGTTTTGAATCCATTCATTGAAATGGACAGTTTGAAGTGATTCATGCAAAGGAATCAAACTTACACGTTGTTTTTGATACTGAAGAAGAATCATGATAGGAATCTTAATGGACAAATTAATAGAATTGTGAGATTCAGAATCTCAAGCATTTTTGAGCAATAATGCAAATGCATCTTTGTTTTAGAGACTTGAATTGATTCATTGATATGGACAGTCTGAAGAGATTCACAGAAATTAATCAAACTTAAATGCTGTTTTTGATTCGGAAGAATCATCATGAAACTACTCTGATGATGCAATCTTTATGAAACGTAATGAACAAATTACAAAAAGCGCATTAAAACAATTGTTTTACAATCACTGGAATTTTTGAGCAATGATGCAAATGCATCTTTGTTTTAGGATTTTTGAATCGATCCATTGAAACGGGCAATCTGAAGTGATCTATGGTAATGAATCAAACATAAATGCTGTTTTTGATGAAACTACTCTGATGATGCAATCTTTTCTAGTTTGACTTAAAAAAAAAAGTGCATTAAAATAATTGTGTGATTCAGAATCTTCTGCATTTTTAAAAGATTAAAAAATGCTTTTTTGTTTTAGGGTTTTGAATCGATTCATTAAAGCGCACAGTTTGAAGTGAGTTATGAAAATGGATCAAACTTAAATGCTGTTTTTGATATTGAACAATCATTATCAAACTAGTCTGACTTAAAAAAAAAAACACATTTATATAATTTTTGATTCACAATCTCCAGCAAAATCATTGCAAAAATATAATGAATATTCAATATATAATCGCTCAGCCCTAGTGGCCATCCGGTGTCAGTGCAAGTGTGTGTTTTTCCACTCTCGTGATACTGGTCTTTGAAACATGGCATGTCGTGCACAACACCGAGGCTCACAATGCAGTTGAAGCATAAAAAAAAAATACAAGTTTAAGTTTAAAATCACGTAAAACAATCCTGCCCTGCCGATGACATCATTCAACTTCCTGTTCAAACCAAAGGATCCTGTACAACACATTTCACGAAGGATCCTCCTGTCAGGTTTGTAAATACCTCAGTCCTCGCTCTGCCTTGAAATAATAAAGAAAAAATCATAGCACAAAATTGGACTCGAAACTAGATAGAACAAAATATCACGGGCGGGGAGAGAAAACGAAATAAAGAAGACCGCAAACACTTTGGCAGAAGAGACGGGGAAAGGAACACACAATGAAAGGATGAAAGAAAAGATAAATTACAGGTGAGACGTGAAGAAAAGTGGTTTTCTCTTTCGCTCAGCATGGCCCGCCATCATACGGCACTCCTCCCACAGATTCGGGGCTGCAAGTTATTCGTTTTTTCCTCACAGAGGAAAGAAGCAAAGAAAAAAGGTGCTCTTCTCATGAAAGTCACGTTTCACTGATTGTCCACAGAAAATTGCGCTGGCTTCCACCCGCCGAGGAGAGCGGGAAGCCTCGGCTCAGAGATATACAATCACAGCGTATATGTATATATATATATATATATATGAAGAGATCCTTTACAGGAAAGGAGCTGAGAATCCATGTCAGGACCCGTGAGGTTGAATCCGTGTTTCAGGTGTGTGTGTGTGTGTGTGTGTGTGTGATGGTAAATACTACTCCAGGTTGGTCTGTCCGTCGTCTTGCATGGTGCCGTGCTCTTGCAGGCATCTCTTGCGTATGACGGGCAGCGGATGAGCCTCCGTGTTAAACACCCAGTCCTCCAGCGGCAGCAGGTCGTCGTCCGAGAACAGCAGGTACAGGTATCTGCGATCGCATACGGCCGGGGTTAACAAAACTCACAAAAGTGTCAAAATATCAGCCTAAAAGCACAGCATTGCAATGCCAGTCTGCTTTGACACCGCATACTTTTCTACTAGACTAAACTGAATGTGAATGGATGCTGTCAAACTCCAAGAAATATATAAAAAGCACCATTTTGTCAATAAACGGTTCCATTAAAAAAAAAATATATATGGAAATATATAAATATATTAGTGACTGTTATTTCCTGTCAAGGTCAAACTTTACTTTGACATGAAATAACAGTAATAGTAAAAAAAAAAAAAAACTGAAATGGAACAGTTTATTGAATATAGAAACTATATATATATATATATAATATATATGTGTGTGTGTGTGTGTGTGTGTTTTAGTATCATATTGGATACATCAGGCTTTTATGGTTTTATGGCTCATATAGTATGACGTAGTGAGAATATGGAGGATAAAACAGCTCAATTTTATCTGGGTTATTATAAGTAACTAAAACTGAAACTGAAACCATAAAAACAAAATTTTTGTTACTTGAAATAAAATAAACATTTACTAAAATAAAATAGAATAGAAAATTTTTTTTTTTTCAGCTAGTTGCAAAGGCAATATTTGTCATTTTAATTTAAAAACTTGATGTATTGAAATAACTAAAACTAAAAATGAAATAAAAATTAATAAAAAATATAGACCAAAAAAAATAACAAATTACAAAAAAAAAACGCCCAACAAAATTATTAAAAATATAAAATTAAACAAAATATAAAAATAAAAACTGATATTAATAAAATATAAATTTGTAAAATATTATATTATAATATTATAACATTAATACAAACATGAATAGTTTCTCAATGATACTAAAATAACACTGAATTTTGTTCAGAGGCCCAAACTGAGCAGAAATATACAATTTGGAGCAGATGCTGATATTTATATGGACAAAAAGATGCTTGTAATGTAAATCAGTGAGATCTTTATAACAATATAGCAGATACTTAAATAAAATGATATAAATATCAGTCATCACTCTGTATCTCCAATAATATGTCTTAGTAAGATGAGATTTAAATGCTTAGTTTGATGATCTAAACATACAATGCAATACAATGATGATTGAGAGATGAAGAAATAAACGTTCCTCAAAAGCCTGATGATCATATTTGAGACTCACAGATTTTTCTAAAAAATGTCCGGATAATCAAGTAAAGTTGCTTCAGTCTAGTAAGTGTTCATCTTTAAATATTACTAACAATATCAAAGTTATTCTTACATTTACTTTATAAAAAACAGCAGAAAGACACGTGAAGCACGAGCTGAAGCTGGACGTTTGTACAATCACACTAAAAGAGCTTTTACTTGATGAATCAGACGACAGAAGGCATGGAGCTTGATCACGCTGATCATTTAGAGGTCTTAGAAATCTGAGTATCAAATATGAAAAAATAGGCTTCGCAGGGATAAAAGAAGTAAAGGGAGTCAATGGAAGGTATTAAATGGCTCAGATAACATGAAATGCAACGCAAAAGTCACATGTTGTGGGGTTTTTGTGCCTTTTGGATCTTGAAAGGAAGAAACACCAAAAAGTACTATTAAAACAAATTCATCTTTTTATTTAATCTTGCTTTGATCATCCTGATTGTTCCTCCTGATGTTCTGCATTATGTGTAGTGCAGAATGCTACCGTGACTCATTATTAAACCTACAGATCCCTGATTCAGGAAGGTGCAGGAACAGGAACATGATAATGAACTTACTTGAGCGTCTCGGACAGGAAGAAGCTCTGCTGCATGTTGTCGTGACTGACTGTGGAGGCGTACACGTCTCGGATTCCTGAGAAACCCGCGTCTACACGACAGTGCTTCTCTAACGCCTGTGAAAACATTTCATCATAATGTTTAGAATTCTAATGTGCCAAGAAACAATATAGGTCATTTGACACTTCGTTATACAGTACCAGTAATCTTACATCAGTAGTTCTCAACAGCAAAGTTATTACAAATAATATAAAGCAACTAACTATATAATCATGCATGGCTAGGATGATAAAACATGAGGAGAAAAGTCATTATAATTGTTCATACTTTTCAAATATTTAAATTTAATGCATTTTATGCATTTGGCAGACACTTTGACAGATTATCCAAAGCAACACTGCATTCATACTTTTATTCATTAAGGATGCTTTAAATTGTTCAAATAAATGCTGTTCTTTTGACATTTCTATTCATCTGTGAATCCTGAAAAATCAAATGTATCACAGTTTCCACAAAAATATTCAGCAGCACAACTGTTTTCAACATTGGTAATAATCAGAAATGTTTCTTGAGCAGCAAATCAGCATATTAGAATGATTTCTGAAGATCATGTGACACTGAAGACTGGAGTAATGATGCTGAAAATACAGCTTTGATCACAGAAATAAATTACAGTTTACAATATATTCACATAGAAAACATCTATTTTAGATTATGATAATATTTCACACTTTTACATTTTTTTTCTGCATTTTTGATCAAATAAATGCAGACTTGATAAGCAGAAGATACTTGTTTGGTACAGTTTCTTGCTGGCAGAAGATACAAGCGATTTGTGAGACATCCTTTAAAACAGGATACTGTTAAAAACTGCTATTTCCGTCACTTAAAAGTTAGCTAGAAGACTAACCACTAAATTTGAGCTCTGAATAAAAGAAGAGCTGACATGGCAAATTAATTATGTATTAACCTCAAACAAAGGTAGACACCTAGACTATAATTAGGACTGTCTCGAGAGTTTGGTTTGGAGATGTATTTGACAAATCCATTTGCGTTCTCCTCCACCTCCTGCAGCCAGTAATTAACATGTCAGTCTGTTGGAGGAGCGCAGCACTTTAACATTGGCTTTATTTTAATGTAAGAGCCACAGCCGAGCGTTCAGTTACCAGAGCTAATGTGAGGAAGAGCCGCGAAAAACACCAGAGATCCTCAACCGCACACTGCTTCATCAGATACACTGCAGAAACTTCCAGATCTGTCTGTCTGTCTGTCTGTCTGTCTATCTATCTATCTATCCGTCTATCTGTCTGTTTATCCATCCGTCCGTCC